TGGGCTGTTTATTCCTATTTTACAGATGAGAAAAAACAAAGGCTTGCCCAGGGTCACAGATTTAAAAAGTGATAAGAGCTAATACTTATGTTTAAGTCTGACTACAAACTTGAGGTCTTGCCAAGTTGCCCAGGTTAGTCTCAAACCCGTGGGCTCAGGCAATCCTCTCACCTCTGCCTCCCAAAGTGTTGGGATTACAGGCGTGAGCTACTGCGCCTGGCCCCAAGTCTGATTACAAATTCAATGTTCATTTTTACAACATGTCTTCAGTTGTTCATGGATCATGAGGGCTGGCTTGGATTAAGGAAATCAGAGTTTATACATAATTCTAACTCCCCACTTCCTACCTATATTGTGACTGACCAACTTATTTCGACTCTGAGTCTCTTCTTTTGAAAAATAGTGATAAAAGCGTCGACCGACCTCAGAGGGTGAGTAAATGCCTCCAAAATTTTTTGCATGGTGTCTGACAATTAGCAGACCATTCAACAAATGAGTAAACCAACCTCTGCGTGTCTGGCCCTATGCCCTGTTGTTGCCAGGTACAGAGGACACTGCAATGAATCACAAGAAGTCCTGCCCTCCAGAAGTATGGTAGGAAGACACAGACAATTACAACGTTACAAAAGTTACGCTGAGGTATGAAAAAAATGTTACAGGAACGTTCAGAAGGGAGCAACTCACTTTGCCTGAAGGGGTTAAGAATGGTATTTCAAGCCGGGCTCCGTGGCTCAGCCTGTAATCCCGCGCCTTTGGGAGGCTGAGGTGAGTGGATTGCCTGAGCCCGCAGGTTCGAGACCCGCATGGGCAACTTGGTGAGCCCTCATCTCTACAATAAATCAAAAATCAGCCGGGTGTGGTATCGCGCACCTGTAATTCCGGCTACTTGGAAGGCTGAGGCGGAAGAATCGCCGGAGCCCAGCAGGTCGAGGCTGCAGTGGCTGGGAGAGGCAACTGCACTCCAGTCTGGGCGACAGAGTGAGACTCCGACTCAAAAAAAAAAAAGAATGGTATTTCAGAGAATATAAAGCTAAAAGGATGAGCAGGAACTAGTCAGGTGAACAAGGATAAAAAAAAAAAAAAAGAAAAGGCATCCAAACCAGAGGGCACAGGTGGTAAAAAGCAAATGGTCGTCTGAGGGCATAGTGTGCTCTGATCTGGCAATGGCCTTTGCTAGGGTTGGCTAGAAACTGGGGAGGTCACAAAAAGAATGTCATTCTAAGGAGTTTGAGGTTTATTTTGAAAATGAGAGGAGGCAATGAAACATAAGGAAAGGGGACGCTTGTTGTGTTCTAGAAGGTGCTCTCTCTGCTAGTAGTTGTAGGGGACGGATGGAGGAGGATGATGCACACACAACAGAGACCAGTGAGGACGGAAAGTTAGCAAGAAAAGGGAATGAAGCCTAAAGTTAGGCAACTTCTGTATTCAGCCGGAATATGTTGTTGGCCTGACTGGTGGGATCGTAGGCAGCGCCCAGCACAACCCGAGGGCGACAGCCTCCCAAAACTAGAGTAGCTTCTCCGCGTTCTTTCCTCCAGCCCGCCCC